TTGAATTATTTTTTTTTACAAACTTCTCTCCGTGAACATCAATTTGATTAAAACAATTCGCGTGTGTTTCCCTGAAGACGCCATGTTTGTTTTGTTTGCCGACTCAATTTCTCTTATGGATTGTAACCATGTCAACAAATTGTCTGCGCAAGCGTATTATATCCGTGAAAAGGCCTATAAGCATTCTTATCTTCAAGGTCATTCGTGCTCATTTGATATATTTCGTCGCATCTGTATGCACGCGTAAACTAAAAATCGTAACAAACTAAAAACAAACAGGTAGTTTTTAACCTTATTTTAATAACAAAAGCAAATAACGTCTTAATTAACAAAAAGTTCTCATCCGGTGCAGTAGTAATAAATTTAGTAATTTCATCACGTGTCAAAACTTTAGATTTTTTGGGTTCATGCGATACATTTTGCGTTTTTAAGAACTGTACTCTTGGACCTCCCCGTCAATGTCAATTTTTTCATGTACCAATAACGTAGTTTTCAATCTTGAATGGTATGCCCACAAGCTTGATTGTTTCGCCTACAATGTCAAAAATATTAAATATGAATTTATTATAGGTTATTCTCGTAAAATGCTGAGTTATGATTTCTCGCAATAATTGCAAAGAACGATAGTTACCTACATTTTTAGATAAATATGCCACGATGATGTCCTCGTTGACACGACCAACGCCTTTTTTGGTTGTTCATTGATAAAATTTTTCGAACTCTTTTATATTTGCTTTCCGACTTGAAGTAAATGGGATGTTGCTTTTGAAGCTTCCAATGCTTCTTGTGGTTGGTACAATTACCTTATCCATTGTCAATGAGACGCGTTTTCCTAAAAAGTTTGACGTGGAAAATAATAAATAATGGTTGCTATGTAAAATCCACAGCCAAATACTGCATTGAAAGGTTGCGGAATTTTAATATTTTTAAATATTCAAAAAACAAAAGTATAAAATAAAATTTTGTATTCCACTCGAAAGTAAATGAAAATGTATCCACTCATGAAATTTACCTAACTTGCTTGCTACGCTCACTCGTTAGGCAAACTTTTCATTCGTGGGTAAATTTTCTTTTACCTTCTTCTGGAATAAAATAACGGTAATTGTTTAGAAGCAAGGCAAACATGAAATCTTCATAGAAAAATTTAGTTTCTTCACTAATCTTACCTAAAATTGTCTCAAGAACTCAAATCTGACGGCGGCAAAGTCAAAAGTATGCGATTTTTAACAAATTCTTGATTTTTCGTGAAGCGAATCGGAGCGATTTAGAGGTTATAATATTTATTGGACATTATTAAGCATAAGAAACATTTGACTTACGAAACAAGGTCATTTATATCCAAATTGTGCTTTTAATTTTCTTAAGAACCACTAAAATATTAATTCCCATTAAAATATCAGATTAAAAAATATTCAAATAACAATCTTCAAATTTTGACAACGATAAACTATTAACACACTCATTGAAGTGAAGATAGCTCACTGTTCGTCATTTTTGTTTTATATCTTCGACTATGCTATGGAAAGAATGCCACTTTTCTTCACTAATGCCAATCAAATCAGATTAACAATAATTAACTACCGTGTAATAAAGTGATGTCTTTTTATTTTCGAAATATATTAAGGCAGGTTCAAGCAAAAAAATTAGGCATTTCCAAGTTTGGAGATTGCGACGACTCTCACGCGCATGCGAGAATCTACTTGACCAGCAGTTATACAAAAATCGCCAATTTACGAAAAACGAGATTTGCACGCAAACTTAACAGTAATATTTAATTATATTAACTATTTAACGTGAAACAATTTGTAATGAACTGTGACTTTTGAAATGTTCAAGCAAATTCTGAAATGTATATTCTGTCTCATATGTATATTGTTACAGAGGTGTTCTGCATTAATTTTTTTTTTTAATATATATATAATATATATAATAGATAATAGTAGATTCCATTTTATACAAATGATACAAAAGTTTAATTACCGTGTCGGATCGGATCACAATATAAAAATCTTCAAATGCATGCGATTCGACGCTATTCGACCCGATCTGACCTGATTTAACCGACTCGATCCGATCTGCTCCGATATGACCGTGCGGCGTGGATCAGGTCACATCACCTCATAAAATAATGATCTTCGAATACCAGCCGCGAATCGGATCGGGAGATAATGTAACAATTTTCGAAAGCACGCGATCCGAACTAATGTGACTCGATCCGATCCAATTCCACTCGATCCTATCCGACTCCATCCAATCCTAACTAGCCCGACCCGATGGGTTCATAATATACGTAACTATCTTCGAACGCGCGTGATCCGATCCGACTCGGTTCTATCCGATCGAGCTCGGTCTTATCCGATTTGACTCGATCCGTTCCAACTCGATCCAATGCGATCTGATTCGATCTTAACGATCCGCGCGCAACGCGGATTGGGTCAATTCGAGTCATAATATAACAATTCTTCTATACACGCGATAAACAATCTGACCCGATTCGATCTGACTCCATCCTATCCGATTCGACTAGACCCCCTCCGATGTGATACGTGCAGATCGGGTTACATCGGCTCATAATATGAAAATGAATGCAAATGATCCGACTCAATCTGACCCACACCATCGGTGCGCAAAGATCAGATCGGATACGGTCGGGTCAGATCTCGTCCGATCGGATCGATTTGAGTCGTATAGCAATCATCACATGCATGAAATCGGATCGGGAAGGGTCAATTAGATTCGAATCAGGTTAGACCAGGTGCAGTCGATGAGTTTAAATGACTCCATCTGACCCCACTCGATCTGATTCGACCCGATCGGGCGCTCGGATCGGATCAGATCGGGTCAGATCGGACAGAATCGGGTCAGATCAGATGCAGGTGATAAGTTAAATGATACCCTATCAGACACTATTCGACCCGATCCGATTCGCCAATCGGATCGGGTCGAACAGCGTCTGATCGGATCAGATCAATTAGAGTCAGATCAGGTCAAATTGGACAGAATCGGGTCAGATCAGATACAGGTGATAAGTTAAATGATACCCAATGAGACCCTATTCGACTCGATCCGATTCACCAATCGGATCGGGTCGAATAGCGACTGATCGGATCTAGTTGGATCGGGCCACATCAGGTGCAGCAGAAGAGTTTTATAACCCGATCTGACCCTACTCGACGCGTAGGCTCGGGTCGGGTCGGGTCAGGTCGCGTCGGTTTGGTTCAGGTTAGGTCAAGTCGGCTCGGTTCGGGTCAGGTCGAGGCGGGTCGGCACAAGTCGTGTTGAGTCGGGTCAGTCGGCTCGGCTTGGGTCAGGTTGGGTCGGGTCGGGTCGGGTCGGTTCGTGTCGGGTCGGATCGGCTTGGGTCAGATCGGGTCGGGTCGGGTCGCCTCGGCTCGGATCGGGTCAGGTCAGGTCGGCTCGGCTCGGGTCAGGTCAGGTCGAGTCGGGTCGGCACAAGTCGGGTCGGGTCGGGTCAGGTCGGCTCGGCTTGGGTCAGGTTTGGTCGTTTCGTGTTGGGTCGGGTAGGCTTGGATCAGGTCGGGTCGGGTCGGGTCAGGTCGGGTCGGGTCGGGTCGGGTCAGGTCGGGTCGGCTTGGGTCAGGTCGGGTCGGGTCAGGTCGGGTCGGCTCGGCTTGGGTCAGGTCGGGTCGGGTCGGTTCGTGTCGGGTCGGCTCGGCTCGGATCGGGTCAGGTCAGGTCAGGTCGGCTTGGCTTGGGTCAGGCCGCGTCGGTTTGGGTTAGGTCAGGTCAAGTCGGCTCGGGTCGGGTCGGGTCAGATCGGCTCGGCTTGGGTCAGGTAGGGTCAGGTCGCGTCGGGTCAGGTCGGTTCGGGTCAGGTCGGGTCGGGTCGGGTCAGGTCGGGTCGGCTCGGCTCGGGTCAGGTCGAGTTGGGTCGGCTCGGGTCAGGTCGGGTCAGGTCGCGTCGGGTCGGGTCGGCTCAGCTCGGGTCAGGTCGAGTCGGCTCAGCTCGGGTCAGGTCGAGTCGGCACAAGTCGGGTCAGGTCGGGTAAGGTCGGCTCGGCTTGGGTCAGGTCGGGTCGGGTCGGGTCGGGTCGGCTCGGCTCGGATCGGGTCAGGTCAGGTCAGGTCAGGTCGGCTCGGCTCGGGTCAGGTCGAGTCGGGTCGGTACAAGTCGGGTCGGGTCGGGTCAGGTCGGCTCGGCTTGGGTCAGGTCTGGTCGTTTCGTGTTGGGTCGGGTCGGCTTGGGTCAGGTCGGGTCGGGTCGGGTCAGGTCGGCTCGGCTTGGGTCAGGTCGGGTCGGGTCGGTTCGTGTCGGGTCGGCTCGGCTCGGATCGGGTCAGGTCAGGTCAGGTCGGCTTGGCTTGGGTCAGGCCGCGTCGGTTTGGGTTAGGTCAGGTCAAGTCGGCTCGGGTCGGGTCGGGTCGGGTCGGGTCGGGTCAGATCGGCTCGGCTTGGGTCAGGTCGGGTCAGGTCGCGTCGGGTCGGGTCGGTTCGGGTCAGGTCGGGTCGGGTCGGGTCAGGTCGGGTCGGCTCGGCTCGGGTCAGGTCGAGTTGGGTCGGCTCGGGTCAGGTCGGGTCGGGTCGGGTCGGGTCGGCTTGGTTCAGGTCAGGTCAAGTCGACTCGGCTCGGGTCAGGTCGGGTCGGGTCGGGTTATATCGGGTCTGCACAAGTCGCGTCGGGTCGGGTCGGGTCGAATCAGATTAGAATGCATCGTATCGAGTAGAGTCAGATCGGGTCTGATCGGATCAGGTAGGGTCACATCAGATGTCGGTCCGATCCGATCCGCGCACACTATCTGATCGGGTCAGGTCAAACTCAAACGGTTTTACAACATTCGCGAATCGACTGAAAATTCCACATTTGGGGGATGTTTTTATATTGATAGCGCACTAGCCGATCTTTCACCTGTCACGTACATTCTACTGTGATTCCGCAGTCTAGTTTTTTGAATGTTTGAACACACAGAGATCATAATGTAATTCTTGATTTGAATTTCGCTGTTTTACGGCGCCTTGCGCAGTAGATCGATGAGAAGAAGTGTTACGAATGTCACGATATTTGACAGAACATGTAAATACTTGTGAATATCTTCTTATCAGTGTACTTTTCCGGTAACTCCATAACTTGATTAAAATGTGCGCCGATGGTCCCTTGATATGTATAGTAAGTTTAGCAATTCCCTCAACTTTTTATCTCATTGATAAGTTTTGTAGTTTTTACTATTAAAGATGGGAGTTTTGTTTTACGAAGAACGTCCAAAACAGGATATTTACAAACGCCTGAGAAGTCATTTAAGAATGGTATAAACGAATATTATTTGTTTGAAATGTTTGGTGGCCCTTAAAAGAACCAAGTCAAAAAACACCCGAACTCCATTTAAGATGGCGGTGGATAAAGAACTGCAGCTGCTAAGCAGAACTCGTGGACCCGTTCACCCAGTGGGAATCTTCTTTTAAATAAAAATTCCGCGAGGTACCCCACGAAGTGCTCTGTTCTGCGTCCATAGCGGGGCAGCCCTCCCCTCACGTCTCTCCAGGTCCGCTCGATGTTTTGGGTGTGAGCTTCTGGATCTGTTGGGTTGACAAAGTTGAGGGAATGGTTCACACTCAAGTGCTGGAAGCCCTCCTCTTCCAGCGTGTTATACGCCCTCCAGCAGTCGGATACAACAACACTACCAGGATGTATCCATTCACGAATAACCCCTAGTAATGTTGGTGCATCACGACTAGGTACGGGCACCAGGAAGACGTTCTTGGTGGTGCGGTCGAAACCTCCAAAAACCCACTGGCCTTCAATTCGGCGACCGCGGTTATATTTGCGTCTGCCAAATTTGGCCTCGTCAATCTCCACTATGACGCCAGGACCTCCGATCTTCATGGAGTTTGACAGGGCCCAGTTAAAGCAAACTTCCCTACAGAAGGACGACCAATCCACAATTGTTGCCGAGCTCCAGCCCAATTCCAATTGTGCCATTGCCTGCCTGGGGAATCTCGCAATACACCATACACCTATAAAATAGGTGATATCCTCCAGGGGTAGGTGGCTTCGCTCAAAAAAGGTGCCCACCCGACAACTTCTCTTGAACTGGCATTGCGTCTTCTTCGGAGCCTTCTTCTGTTCAGAACGGTCTGTGTACCGCACTCTTGCACATACGTGCAAGTAGCTGTTGATGTTGACTTCAACCGCTACTCCACACGTTGGACAATTGCGGAACCGTCTCAACATGTTGTGCGAGACCAGAAAATCGACAACGCGCCTCCGATCCTCGCAACGCACCGCAAGTTGTCGCAGCGAATTCGTACAACCCTCACACGCCATTATGAACAATTAATACAATTGACATATGTCATTAAAAGCCGCCAATTAGCTTCCGCAGAGGCAAATGGCGGTTTATGTCTTTGATGTAATTTTTATTGTTATAAAAAAATATAAAATTGAAAGCATTCCGACTTATTAGTGAATTATTTAAAAGATTCGCGGTCGTTTCCTTTTCATTCGAAATTACAAAATGCGCAAGTGTAGAAAATGTGACCGTCTGTCACTAGCTCCCCGTGGTTCAACTACCGCTAACTTCATTCAAAACAAAACCGGAGAAAATGACATTTGTGCATGTTTCTCACAGTTATGATTGTAGGTTATGTTTATAAAAAATACAAACAATATTAGTGGTATTATTCTATTTTAGAATATAATAACCGCTATAACGTGGAAATTTGTGGAAACAAAGTCGAGAATTCATGGAAACGTTATTCGCAATGGTTCTAAAACGATTAATTCCGTGTCATATTGTGAAATAAATATTTTCGCCAATGGTGTTCCGTGGCCCCGAAAACTACCTCCAACTTTTTAATGGTACATTTTTCCACTTCTCCGACACCGGAATTGAAATTATTGAAGGTTTCTGAGTAAGTTTAGTAAAAAATTTTCTTTATTTCATGTATTTTTAGCGTTTGCCCCGCTTCTAAACTGTTACCAAAATAACTATTAATTAATGTTGTTTTATACCGGGTGATCAGTATTTATTGTCATCGAGTCAGTCCTGAGTTTTAATCAACATGTCTTTTATGTATGTATAGATATGTCAAATCAAATAACAAATCTAAAGTCAAAAATGTGAATTTTAAGATGCGCCACTTTATGCTGTGACGTTCATCTATGATGTGCACAAACAAAAACCGGTCTACTCTGGTTTTTGATTAATTACTACCTAACTATAACAATAAAGCATGATAATTTGTATATTTCTGATCAGATTTACAGTAGCTAATATACGGAAATGGGAATATTATTTTCAAGTATTCACTTTAACCGCAATCTTGAAGAAATTATGTAATTTAGAGGTCTATTTAGTGGATTGTAAAACGGTTGGCCTTTGGCTTGTTTAACTGGGCGTAGCGCGAATGTATAGTCGCGGCTATCGAATACTGGGCCATAAGGTTTGACACATTTCCAAATTAAAAAAAAAAAGTTTAATTAATGTTTTGTTTGACAAATAAAATAATTTTGACAAAGTCGCTATTGGGTTTTTCAAGTCAGGAGCGTACATTCAAACTGCTGTTACGATATTAACACTAAAACTTTGTTTTGTCAAAGTGGTCCAGTTTTATATGGCCGCGACTGTATATGTAAGTGCTTCACTTAATGCAACTAATATACTATTGACACAGAATTTGCCACTATGTGGCATTGAATCATCACATACAGAAAGAAGTGATTGCCACTTGTTTATGACATTCACGTGTAACATTTGTTGAAAATGGTGAATGATTAACAATATCTTTATGTATATTTTTTCAACAAGTTTATTCGTATATTCGTGTTGAAAATTGCTGACAGCTAATGAAATCCGTGGTAACAAATGTCAGCTTTATTTCTAGTTCCTATCGACAGGAGAATACGGGAGAATATTTATATAAGGCTACTAAGTAGTGCGACCTTTCATTAGCACAGCTGCAATTTGTCGGCAGGATTACAGTAATCCTGGCAGACGCGCCTGAAAAGGCATTACGTGAGGGTTTTAGACTGCGTCACCCTCAATTCCCCAAATTACTCAAACAACTGATAACACACATGATGAGCGACATCTATATCAAACCGTGTTCGTTCGTAAAAAAAATCCCTGTTTTTATTGTAGAAAAGCTAGCATAGATTTCTTTGTTTTTCGTCGATAGTGATATTATCAAAAAACGGTTGTTAGATGGTATTAACACAGTCCTATTTCCTTTTCTGTAGGTATACGAGAGCTAATTTAAATGCAAATATTTATGTTTAGTATTGTACACACACATGTACGAACAAAACGAAAATTGACGCCAGAGTTCTTTGAACGAGTTTAGTCAGAAAAATGACTTTCGTGTGCATTTTCACCCTGTTCAAACTAAATTAAAATGTGGACGCGCAAGTTAGAGAATGGAACCTATATACACTCATTTATACAAAGCAGAACGGAGGTGGAATGACATTAAAGTTTATTTCTTTGTTGATACAATTCATACTCCTATTTACATTTTACCCAGCTTTCCAAAGCTCGTACCGTTTTATTCACAAATGCGCTGCAGAAACGCGATTAGTGACAAAAGACGTCACATTATATTCTATAAGCGAAAGATTGCGAGCGGGACTACCAACTTTGTGATGAATGTTTTCAAATAAATATTCTTAAAGTACTATTAGCTAAACTTCATACTCGAAATAAAAAATTGTCGCTTTGCATGTCGTTATATTGCGAAAAGCGAGTGATTTATTGGATCTGTTGCGAAAACTTATTCATTGTTACCTTTTGTAGATAATGCAGAGTTTCACAATTTTTTACTAAACTTTCGCAACTGCAATTATGATAAAATTGTCAGTTTTTAAACTCGAAATGATATAAGCACGGATTGATGATCCATCATTCAGAACGTCTTTAGTGTTAAGTGTAGGGTTTTAATGTGAAATAGTTTTTTAATGGAGCAGTAGAGTTTAATTTGTTCTCGAATGAAACACGTGCATGCGCTTCTGAGGATCACAAACTTTATCACTTGTGACTTGAAAATATCAACCGTATAATATTCGTTCACTTGGACTCATTTTCTATTTGTGTGAACTGTTCTATTCACTTTTGTGCCCCATGTCTATAGCTTTCCTATTTCTTAGACATGAGTACAGTTCCATGCGACTATACCTACATATAGTATTTTCTGTGATTTTTGGGAAGTAGTATACAACAGGGTGGTCCACGGGTAATAAAGAGCCTGAATAAATTTGAAACGCAACCCTAAATGTTCGAAGTGTTGACCCATGTTTCTTTTACATGCGTTAATCCTATTCTGGAAGGATGTCATAACACGCTTAGGCCTCGCCTTTGGGCCCATTGTACAGGGAGACTAAAAAAAGAAAGAATCAGTTAATTTTATTGAAGAAATCAAAAACTGTTATTATTAGTATTACACTACACCTATCCAAATTGATATGCGTGTGCTTGCCAAATTGCTGATGACGTCATCACAATATTTTGTAAAAGAAAAACTCATTCGAAACATACTCGTACTATGCATTTTTATATTACTTTTAACACTACATACATATCTTTATTTAAACTTACAGGTGTCTATATAAAAAAATTAAATTCGCAAAATCAAATTTTATAATTTTTCGAAAAAGCTGGTTATGTTTTATTGTACTTCAAGAGTGAAAGAAGTTGTGTTGAAATAACTTTCGACCAATTTTTCACGCCGAATTTACTGGACTACAGATGAACTTGTGTATTGTGTGATGAAGTAAAGCTGCATGCTGCCAGAGTAAAAGAGGAAAACCTACATATATTATACTAAAATTAGAAAATTACGTATCTTTGCTATAAATACTACTCTAAACTTAAAAAAAATGGTCCACGGTTACTTCGACAGAACTTCCCTCACTCTGAATGTACAGCCCAACAAATTCCGGTTTTTTTTTTAAATTAGAATTTTTTTTTCTGATCACCTTTATACATATATTAAAAACCAGTCGTGTAAATGACACCTCGAACCCCCTGCGCCTCGAGGCGCAAATTCCAAGGAAATGCAGCCCGCAGACATACGGACAATATGAAATATATTCAAAGCAAATAACCAACGGAAAAGAGGGCATTATTATCAGTGTACATGCTTAATTTCGATTGTTTATATTTATACATTGACGTAGAAATTTGTTTAATTTCAATGAGTTGTCTTTTCAAAACATAGGCCTAAAATTATTAATTAAGCCACAATGGAACAAAATGTTTTGATATGATTAGTATTATTCTTACTTGATCACATTTAAATAAAGACGTAGTTATTCTCACATTTTCTAGAAAATGAGGTTTTTAATTTGATCAATAAAAAAATGGTCGAAGGCTGTAAATATGTATAATCCGACAAATCTAGCTCTTAAAAAAAGTATAAAAATTGATTTTACGACTTTCATTTTTTGATACCCACTGTAAAGTAAAACCAGCGGCATAAATAACACCCCCGCATTACTATATAAAGACGTGCGTATTCTTCACATTTTTGAGAAATTGGGGCGATTCGTTTTTAATTTGACCAATGTGATGACGACATCTACATGAATAATACTAGTCACAGCACAAAAGAAAAGTAGTCATAGCGTATTACCAAAGCAAGAAAAAGTAAAGGGCTAACTTTGGCATCGAACCCTCGACCGCAGGTCGCCGTTCTCCCCAAAAAGGCCACTGCGCCACGAGGAATCATATCCCGCGTTGGTATAATGTTATTAAATCTTGCAAATGTTTTTGCGAAAATTTGAACATTTAGCGAAAAAACTGAAAGCGGATTCGTACACAATGATAGGAATATATTTTTGTATAACATTAAAATCATTTTATTCATTGAAATGAGGTAAGCAAATTGTTGGTGGTGATTTTTAGCCAAATTTTGGTTAACATTTAACCATCTACATAATTTTATAATATATGTACATACAAAATTTGACAACAATCGGTCTGAGCGTTTCGGAAATTACGTGTCTAATAAAAATGGATACAGACAGATAGGCAGACAGACAGACGGAAACGGGAGACGTAAAATTAGCCATTCGTCCGATGGATGCGATTACTATAGTTACGCTCGGGAAGTAAAAATTGGAAAATGTTAACAAATCTTTTCGTTCAGTATACTATTTGTTATGTGTTATATGATTGGTAGACATATTAAAATAAATCTCTTTCTTTAAAAGTGTTGCAGTTGTTACAAAATAAGACGGTTTGATATTATTTATTTGTTTTAGTGTGGTGAAATATAAAAAAAACTCAATAAATTTGACGAGATCTGCATATTTATAGAAAAAAAATTATCTATTGCTTTTTTCCACTTTTGTTTTACGCTACCTGCGATTTAATTTAACCCTGTATTAATGAAATAGTATTCGTTTATATTTTCCTGTCCAGAAAAAATTGTTTGAAATTTTTGCTTGAAATGTGATGTGG